TATTTATATTTCTAGTTAAAGGTTATCACACACACACACAACTGCTCATCAAAAAAAGATAAATCTCTTTAATTGCAACTATTGATGCTCTAAATTACTGTTAAAAGTAGAGGTCTTCTCTATAAGCTACCATAGTTATCATGCCTGGCTAACTAGCTACAGTAGTAAGTTAGTATTGTGATATCATTTCATTAGTCACTTACATAATTCTGTTGGATTACATGTTGCATCCTTGTTCAGGACTGGAACATCCACTGTGTTGGCCAAGATGAAACTATAACAATTATGGCTCCATCCTGCCCCTTCTTTGGTTTGGGTAACTTTACACCTCAGCAACCCAGAGATCACATTAACAAATATGTTTGAATCACATTTTTATGTGCAACACAATAATCTATCATCTGTAATACTAGAGCTAGCTCCCCCACAACATGAGAACAATGCTGCTGTTTTATTCCCATGCTTTGTACAGTACCTGGCTCAGCAGCTGGTGGTGAAACATTATTAGCATAATATCACCATACAGTAAGTGCAAACAGTGCAACAAGAGAATGGAAATCTTGGGTTACTGTAGCAATGGTAACTTAGGAGAGCAAGGCCAAGTGAACTGTCAATTCCTATATTAATTACAGCAAAGATGGTGGACTTTTGTTTGAGGTTACATGGGTTTTGCCATGGATTAGTTTTCACATGCGGATCCTGTGCTGCTCTTTCCAGAATTCACCAATTCCTTGAGACAGTGCTAACTCTGCTAAGGCCCTGCACTCAAGGGGGGTGAACCCAACCAATGCAGTGCCCTTTATGCCAACCCCCTGCCTCCCTGCCAGCTCTGCAACCCTCGCCGTAATGAGAGAAGCTGGAGCATGACAGTATAGCTGGCCGCCGATACTGAAAAATGGCCAGGGTTCACCTGCTGTCATGTGACTAGGCGGGCTCCCCTTGATGCTCTCCACATTGCAGGCAATTTCCACAGCACCTTCATGTGGCAAAGCCAGCACCTGCAGCCCAGGCAGGCCCCCTGGGGTCGACTCTCTAATTGCTGTGGCAATGCTACGTCCAAAAACAATGTCCTGAGTGTCGATAGTGACGTTGCAGTTCATGACGTATGGACTGGCCCCAACACCTGCAGGACATCAGCCAGGTCAGAGGTACAGAACACTTACAAACTTACAAACAAAGGTCAAAGAAGAGAATAGAGACAGCCTGTGGTCGGGCTGTGACAAACAGCTTTGTAACAATAGAGACACAGTCACATTTTACCCTGGCAAAGTGATACTTTAACCCTTCTTTCAGGTTAAACCTACAGTAACTTGAACTGCATGTACAGTACATTTAACTTTTTCTTCCAGCTTGGGCTCACCTGTGAGGCCAAACTGTTGTTGTGGTTGTGGTCCCACATCTGGATTGACTGCCTGCAAGTCTGGCGTCTTCTTGAACCAGCCCATCTCCTTCCTCCTCTGTGACAGCCCCCGCTGCAGGGGCCGGTCTGCCCAGCCAAACAGGAAGGCACTGGTTCCCTGGACCCTCTCTGTAAGTCCCTGAGCCACAGCTGAGCCCAGGCAACAACACAGACATGTCATCACATGCATGCACGTTCAGAAACATGAGAGTGTGACAGATTAAACACACCTAAGGAACAAATCTGGACACACGCATCACTTATTACATGCATGCATAAATAGTGATTGTTAGTGAGTGCCAATGATTATTCTGCCTTCACACAGTGTACTGAGTGCACACATCAGGTATGCAGGCCACATGCTGGGTTACTGAGAGGTAAGGTTACTAGAAAGTCACATGGCTGCTAAATCAGCTGGTAAAATGGACACCGGCCGCTAGCTCTTAACAGTACATGTACCAGGTATCAGGGAGACAGACAGTGTATATTACTGCAGTATCAGATACTAGGGTGGGAAATAAAAAACATACTGAGTTTATTGTAGATTGCTGCAGTTTACTAGAAAGGAAAATGTACAATTTGAAGTTAGGTCCAGCACAGTGCATGTACTGTAGCACCCTCCATCACTGTGTGCACACTCTCAGTCCTAATGTTATTTGAACCACTGACTGGAGTCAGAGCATCCTCATCTGTGTCCTGAGCAGGTGCTCGGCAGAACACAAAGCAAGGGAGCACCTACCGACTGTGCACCGCAAGCTGATGAAAAGATACACTAGAAAACTCAGTTGTCAGTTTGTTAGGTACACCTCGCTGAAACGAACACAGTCTAATCCTCCTGCATGAAGGTGATCGTGTTGTTTGTGTCGTTGTGCATCACCACACACAGAGACACATGCACGTAAAAAGCATCTCACCTCGAGCCTCTCTAGCGCAGTCCTCCACCCCTACCTCCTCCCCCAGTGGGTAGATGGGTATGAGGTCGATGGCACCCATACACGGGTGGACCCCCGTGTGAGCGCGCATGTCAATCAGCCCACAGGCCGTCTCGCATGCAGACAGAATCGCCTCCCCTGGGATCAAGATTGACATCAAACTGTCTTATGTGCCGGGTGGCAAATCAAACATTTGTATCTGAAGCAGTCCATGTTTAAAGTTTCATCTGAATAGTGAATAAATAAAAGATGTGGTTGTTTTAGGAATATTTAGCTGATTTATTTATCTTTGGGTGAGTGTAGGAGACATAACTGGAAACCTTGACAACTTTGTCTGCATTGTCAGAAGGTTGTGTTTCAGATTAGCTTTCAATAAGATACAGTTTTACAGGATCTTTGCCAGAAAAATGTTCATCCTGTTTGTGTGTGTGTGTGTTTAAATCCCTGACAAAGCTTATTAAAGGATTTCTCCTCTTAAAGGATTGGAAAGCAGGGGGCTGAGACTGTAGCAGCAGGGCTGCAGCAGGTAGCTGACTCCAGCATTCCCTCAGGAATAGGAAAACAAACGTAAAGTATTTATATTCCAATGAGGTTTCAGCAAAAAAAAGAAGCCATAAAGATGAACTACTTACTGATGGAGTCGATGTTGGCCACAATGGTGATGACAGAGCGGTTGTAGTCATAGTCATTAAAGATGTTCAGCACTGTGGTCCCCTCTCTTCTCACACCTTGTGTATAAGAAAACAAACCATGTCTTAAAAATCATTTGATATTAGGATTTAGAAGTATAACTTGAGTGGTGTGGGTGAATGAATAAGTACTGTGATGGTGCAAAGAACGGTGGCACAGTGATTAGCGATTCTGGTTTCGAGGCCGGGCCCCTAGGAGTGAGTGTGAGCATGTGTGAATGTCTGTCTACGTGTCAGCCCTGTGACAGACTGGAGACCTGTCCAGGGTGGACCCCTCCATCAGTCCATCTCAAAGGGGGAAAAGTTAAACAAAGCTTAAACATTTCAGAGATTATTGAACAAAAATAGATCAGAGCATCTTCTAATCTGTCACAGGTTGTATTATGCTTTACGCTGATTTATTCATGAACTCGTTTATTTATTTATCAGCATTTGTTCATTGCCCTTTTTGTCTTTTGATTCTTGTTGGATCACACTTGGTGGGAAAGAAGTTTTTATGTAGTTTGGAAATGGTCTTTATACCCACAAAAATAAAACTACAACACATTCATATAACAGAAATGCTAGTAATTCTGTCATCAAAAGCAGGATTTAAGGAATATAAAGAGTTGTAGTAAAATTCAACCTACCTCCAGTAGTGTACACAGCTGTCCTGGCCACAGTCTGCACCAGGTCTGTCCTGCGAGCCTCAGAAATGTTCAGCAGACAAGCCGCCAGCTGTTTGCCCAAGGATCCTGAGGCCATAGTTCTGAACCAGTACTGTCTTAGGCTGGTGTATGGTTGGGATGCAAAGTGCATTGACCATACGATGAAACAAATGCTGAAACTGAAACAATGCCAGAATAATGGCTTTGTTAAAACAAACGTTAGAGTTGGACTTCAATAAAAAAAGCAATAAAACTCTGTTTTGCTCAGTTCAATACACAATACCAATACAATATTGGTCTGGTAAGGGCAGACTCACGGGCCCATAAAAGTTTGTCAGTACATTCATGAGTGATACCAATAGTATTATCTGGGCTGTTTGACACTAGTTCTTTACTGAATGCATGATAGCCATAACCCATGAACTGGTAAATGCTCACAGTCTATTCAAAAATGATTAATTGCCTTTAATGATCATACAACTTACAGATACCTCATGGAGTTACTGTATCTGTGGCATGTTAGTCATAGGCCAGTAGCCTACCCGAAATATTAATCTGTAAAATCTGACATAGGCCTACTTGAGTTATGGTGAATGCAATTATAGCAATTACTGTATTGTCTGCTGTTGTACCCAGTAGAAAATATACAACTCACTGACTTATGTACGTAATGATCGGTAAAACACCAACTAATATGCAGCGGTTGCTGATTTACGTTTGTTCAGACCGACGAAAATGTACTAAAATAGATTTCAGCACGTTTAACATGGAGACGTGTAACTAAAGATATGAAGGATCAGTCCAAGATAGTTCACTTCCGTTTCCAACCACCTGGAAACGTCATTTCTGAAGGATGCTAGTTTTGTTTTTAATTCTTATTGATGCATGTAGGCTAAATCAATCAAATCAATTTAATCATCTGTTTATTTTTTTTTATTATTAGTGTCGTCGTCGTCGTCGTTGTTGTTGTTGCTGCTGGCTCAAAAAAGTTATCAAATAAATGTAGTGGAGCAAAAAGCACAACAGGCCTATTTGCCTCTGAAATGTAGTGAAGTCGAAGTAGTAGAAAATGTAAATACTGAGATAAACTACAAAGACCTTAAAATTGTACTTGAGTAAATATGTTCTACTTAGTTACTTTCCATCACTGTTCCTTTGTCCCGCTACTCACTTGGCCGACTCGAACACGGAAGTAGATAGGGGGGTAATATCTCGACACCATATGCGCCCACTTCCTTTGGCGTCACAAAAACAGACATGCGCAGAAGTGGCAGCTTTGGTTGACTGGGGTGTTTTTGATCAATAGCGCCTCTTCGTGGACAAAATATGTCCCAAACTGTCAAATGACATGTTACAAGTTTCTGCTCAAGCGGGTACAATGCGCGAGAGACAGTGGTTATTAGAAGGCGTGCAATGGTAAGTATTTGGATTCCAGCCATTTAATACAACTCCCGGGTCCTGTTTTGACGTTAGCTGCCCACAGTACGATGCAGCTTTGCTAGCAGAGAAGGCGGTCGTTAGTTGACTAGCTAATTAGCTGTCAGCAACAGCAGCATGGACCGACTGCGTTGACATAGAAAACAACGCCAAGTAATTTTCTTATTTTAGAATCCATGCTAGCCGCCCGAGCATTCGGAGCGGGTTTCACTCTAATAACCGTGGCCAAAGCGATGAGCTCTGTAGCAGCGACGACATCCGCCGAGACCCGGGGGTTGCATGTAGCAGCCAGCCGGGATGCACGCTGCGGGAGCCCGCTGCAGAGGCTGCAGAGGCTGCTGGCGGTGCCCGGCTACGTCCCGAGCCGAGTGAACGACATGCTGCTCCTGCGGCCTGACACAGACGGTCACAAGTACCATAACAAGCATGTGGTGTTCTTCCACGGAGATATTCAGGTGAGTGCGATGATATAAGGTACTAGAGTTGATCTCAGCTCATCAAGGGTTCCTGCACAACGACGATGACACATTAATCACTTTAGTTATTACAGTGGCGGGTTAATAGACGGAATTACATTAATTATAGTGCCTCCATCCCACTGGCAAGTCTTTTTAACTAAGGTAGTGGAAAGTTGTAGATCACACCCACTAAGTCTTGACCAAACTTCACTTTTAAACAGACTAACAGTACAGATTGACTTATACACGAATGTGTATGGCATTATGTTTTTCATTTTTTCCTTTGCATTTCCAATTATTATTGAGGCCATAGTTAAAGGTGGTTTGGTACTGGACTACATTATATTCAGAGGTGTTCCTAATATTATGACCCTCTCATGTATGTAGCTGGAGAAGACACCTCTGAATATAACGTAGATCAGTACAACACCACCACCAACTATGACCTCCATAATAAACATATAATTAAATGTATATGTTTATGACACCTTCACCAAAAACTGAAACATTGTGAGCTTCATAAACACAGATGTTAAGGTGGACGCGTTGCTTACAGTTGTACAGGTGTACCTAATAAAGTGACCGCTGAGCGTATATTTCTTTTATGTGCAGCCATGTGGCTTACTTGTACATTAAATACACAATACTTATGGGGTAATTATAAAGTATTTTGCAGATGAAAAACAGTTTTTATACACAACATGTGACTCATGAGTGTCAGAAAAGGTTTTCGGCAGAGTAAGAATAATTTTTTTACTGCTTCATTTAAAAAAATTCCTACTTTAATCTCACAATAGATTGAAATCAGTGCGTCTGACAGATGTTTTCCACATATGAAATCTGACCGTGTTGCTCTTGGCTGCTCTCAGCAACACTGATAGCAAGTTTCTTTATATGGACCATCAGCAGTGGACAAGCCTGGCTAGAGCTCAGGAGAAGATCACCAAATAGAAGTGAAACAGCACTTCTGATTGTCAGGGGAAAGTGTATCCAGCTGAGTAGATTGTGCTCAGGAGAGGTGTTGTCCGCCCAGGGAGCAGTGTTCTGATTGGTCAAACACATTTTGACTTGAACATCACTGGTGACATTCTCATGGGAGCAGAGCAAGTTGATGTTTTACTTTTCATCAGCAGCTGTTGTCCTAAAGAACAGAGCACTTGGAGCAAACCTCTTTCAGGATGGGGGAGTTTGTTTTTACCCAGAGAAATCAGGTTATTAAAAAAAAAAGCCTGCAACTGCTGCAGCTGTCAGATTAGTCAAAGTGGTCTCAGATGCTTTTTGTTGCTTTTTTTAGTAGGTTGAAGGCACAACTACTAATCGAGTGTAAAAATGTGGAGGGGTTAAAGATGAAGTAATTTAACCTTATCATTTGGTTTTGCTTTCAAGAATTCGAGACGCGCCCTCATTTATTACAGCATTCCCAGTGCCCAGGCAGTCTATTCCTCTGCAATTCATTAGGCAGCTTACTAAGCAAGTGTTAATGTTCCCACAGTGTGCTGGTATTTCCCAGGAGACGTTTGTATGTGCAGGACGTAGCCACGGTGATGTTTCCATGTAAATACAATGCATGAGGTCACTGTGTTCAGGACCACACAGTCTGACCACAGACCAAGAATTGGGTCAAAGATGCACTGACGTGTCACGTCTGTAGTCAGACTCTCACCATGGCCCTTAGCACAAAAGTATGTTTTTGTTATTCCAGCTTGTCCAGGTACAGCAGCTTTAATCAATCTGTGTGTGTGTTGTTTGAGCAGAACTTCCAGGAGGAGATGGCTCTGCAGGCCGAGGGAGCCCAGTGGCTCTCCTGGAGTCTGGAGCAGGTGGCCTTCATCTTGGGCAGACGTTTCCCTGACCGATATGTTTGGGTGGTCAGAGCCTCCCGCATGTATCTCCACAAGTTCAGCTGCTACCACAACTTTGTGGAGAGCAACATGTTTGGGGCACCAGAGCACTCACCCTACTCACCTGAAGGTGGAGCCTTGCACCAGCTCAGGTGAGCACATGATCAGATCAGCCATTTGTTTAGCAGTTTCTCCAGTTAAGACACTTTCAGCTCACTAACTGTTACAAACTAAATGATACAGATTTTTTTCATGTCAGCATGTGTCTCCAGTATACCTTGTCAGATGGTCGGTGTACAACAAGACTAACATTTGGATTCAAATCAAAATGTCTGATTATTGCACAAGTAAACTAGATGATACATTTCACCTTCCATTTGATGCCAGCTTTCAGCACTTGATGGTTTTTATACTGTTACAGGCAGATGTCAGACAACAGCAGAAAAGTACTGAGGTCTGAGACTTGGCCGTTGTTGCTGCATGAACTGCTGTCACATCAGTAGTAAACACATCAGCAATATGCGAAGTCTGGGCCAAGTTCTCAGAAACATGACACTAAACGCAAAACAGCTGCACTGGCAAAAAGAAACAGTGGTAACACATGACCTAACGCCCTAACCTGTGACTGAGAGACACAGTGTTACGCACTGTGGCCCCAGAAGACACTGGGGACCTCAGGACATCCTCATGAGCTTCATAAAGCTGTGATTTGCTACCAGTTGTAGGTGCTCTGAGTCTGAACAGGATTTCTGTTTGCAGGGCCCTGCTGAGCCACGGCATGGAGCAAGCCAGCCTACCCAACCCTCTTCAGCCACAAGGAGGCGCCAGCACCATCCCTTCAGGGTTTTCACTGATGCTGGTGGGCTTCAGCAAAGGCTGCGTGGTGCTGAACCAGATGGTGTACGAGCTGGGTGGGGCCCGCGCTGACCCGCAAATGGCTCCTTTCATTAAATGCATCGCGGCCATGTACTGGCTGGACGGCGGACACCCGGGGGGCGGTGAGACCTGGGTGACGGATAAGCAGGTGCTGAAGGAGCTCGCTGCCAGCAGAGTGTCGATTCACGCCCACGTAACCCCTTACGAGGTGTGCGACCCCATGCGGGCGTGGGTGGGCCGCGAGCACAGATACTTCATCAAAACCCTGGAGGAGTTTGGGGCCTGTCCAAGTAAGAAGCTGCACTTTGAGGATGAGCCCCCCTCCATTGAGAACCACTTCAGGGTCATCCAGGAGTTTTGAGCTTGTGAGCACTTCATAGTACACACACACACACACACACACACACACCTACAAACCTGATGGTTGGATCATTAGTGAGCACTTTAGATTATCTGTTAGAAAACAGGTTGAGGGTCTGACCTTAGTTTTGTGGTGATTTAAGAGATCAGAAGTTAAAACATGCTTCTTTCCTTTCTACTGCTAAATGCACTTAATGAGCTGATCCTTCCCCTGCATGTGGCTCTGAGTAGGAATACGCAGGTATAAAAAACGGTTAATAGATTTTAACATCGTGTCTTCTGCCTTTATTATTTAACTCTTGAGGCCAAACAGAACTTCTTAGATTGTGGCTCAGAGCTGTCGTCTTAGAAACATGTTTGTTTGATTTTCTTTATGAAGAAGTTCTCTAATTTAAGGTGTATAAAACTTAATACTGTGACTTATTTTGTCATTTCCTGTACGTTTGGCTGAAGCAGAGCAGCTTCTTACTGCACTAGTGTTTAGCTGCTTATGAACGTCTGACCTTGACTCTGCAGGTTCAGACTTCATCAGTTGGTCTCTGGGATTCTTGATTGTACTTTAGCTGTGGCCATTTCATTAAGCCAAGTACTTGGTCAGAAAGTAAACAACAAACACTGTACTGTTGTCATTCCTTCAGTTTGATCCCGATGGAAGATTTTCCACTAATAATTTGTCCAACTTTTTCCATTTAACCGTCACCCAGCTGCACTCGGAGGGAAAGGAAGAACCAAACCTTCATTTTGATAGGATAGCCCCCCCCTCACTTTAGCCAGCATCTAGCTGCCACTATGAGGGAGGCACTAACACGTCCGTACACATCTGCTTGTTATAATAGCCAACTCCTAGGTAACACAACGCAGTCTCTCCTCAGTCCTCTGGAGCTTTTTAATCACATGATCTTTATCAGCAGATGATGGAGTTAAATGTTTTCTGCTGATGAAAATCATGTAGACCTTGAGGCGGAGCTTGTCAACTGCTGTGCTGCCGTTTAACAATGGCCCAGGTTCGATTCTCATTCAGGGCACCTCTAGCAAGTCGGTGCCAGTGGACACACAAACCTTAGGAATGGAAAAAAAAATAGAATTTGACAAACAATGTTTACAAGATGGTTTTTGTGTAAAATGAAAATTGACAATAAGGTATAATAGTAATATTCCAGTTAATTGTGGTTGCATAATAGTTTTATCTGACTGCAGCAATGTGCACTGCTACATGCACACCTGCTAGTGTAAAACCCAGTGGCTTGTTCAGACTAGACTGCTAATGTGTTGTCAGTGTTGGCAGCATGTCTATTAATCTCTGTGATCTCTGTGTAAGCATACATAGCATCTGTGCAGTGTGCTAATGCAATGTCAGAGCATTCCATGTTTACTACTTGCTGTGTGTAATGATGTTTAAAAACCCTGCACGTCTTCATGGAGCACAGTCAGCAGGTGGCAGCAGAGCGGAAAAACCACAAATTAAAGAACTGAGAAACCGTTTTACAGTGGACAAAGTCAACAAAAACACATCAAATACTCCATCCAGATATTTTCTACAGTCTTTAATGAGCTTTTTCAGTTTGCTTTGTGATGCCTGCAGCTGATGAGAAAACATTAAGGATTAGGGTTTTTTCATTTTTGTTATTTCAGATGGAATCAGAATGCTCATACATTAAAAAATATAAAATGCAAAATAAACATCTGTCAAACATTTATTTGCTTGTGGCTGGTTTGATGTGAACCTACAGTATCCTTCAGTCTGGCTGTGGTCTAAGCACAAACGGGAATGTTGGGCGACACCAGTGGTGCTCCACTCCTTGGTAGGCACCTCCCACTCAGACAATGAGCGCTCTCTCTCTCACACACACAGGCCACCCAGTGACTAGCTGCTGACAGTAGCTACAGGAGATGTACAAAGTCAACACCACAACTCAAGTCATGTTCAAGTGACAAAGCCAACGCCAGCAAACACAAGCCACTTTGAGTCTTTCCAGCATTTCGTCATCCTGCAAAGCGAGATCCCTGAGATCACTGCAGGGCCATACAAATCCATCTGCTCTCGAGATTCACTGCAACACAAATCGACAGCTGCACTCGTTTCTGTACAACCCAGCTTCAGAAATACAGAGTTGAGAAACTTCCTCTATCAAGTGAACTCATTTCAGCCTGAATCAAGTTTATTTTAAGACACCATCACCTGTTTGGAAAGAGCAGAGTACCCAGACTTTGAGAAGTTCTCACTGTTGAGATGAGGTAACATTCAAGCTTATTGCCTTATACAGCAAAAAAATACAATGTGGCTTTTCTGGTTTCTATAATCACCTGACAGTACTTATCAGAAGTTTGGAGAAGCAAAACTAAAGCCCAGTCTCCTAACTCAGTGACATCAAGTCACTTGTTGAGATGAAAATATTTTACAGTGCGCTGTTCCAGTTTGAAAGGATGACAGCATACAGACGAGAGCATGGCCGTGGCTGGAGACGCCCAGCTCCCACACAAAGGCCATTGTGCCAGCTGGTGACAACAAATACAATGTGGTCTGACTAGGTTTGGCACCAAGCAACAAAAAGAGGAATGTTTCGCTGGATGTTAGGAGTAATCAGACTCGCCAGCGCTACGCTATAGGAGAGGTGAGGTTCAAGTCTCAGCTGAACAAAAGGTTGCAAATCCTGCGAGTCAATAGCACCTCATATTTCACATTATACAGTGGTTCTGTCACACTCAGGGAAAATCCAGCTCTTTCTATAACTTTACTTTCTCATCATTCACTTCTACATGTCTTTAACAATCAACCTCAGAACTTAAAGGAGCAGTTGTACATTTTGGGACATGTGCACATTTCCCATTTGTTGAACTACTCCTTTAAACACATCTTTTAAGACTAGTGATATCTAATCATCTTCCTCCTGACTACAACCATCTGACTCATCCGTCCATTTCCACATTGTGCTTTACTTCCCAGTTCCACTTAACAAATCCTTGTTTTCATTTTCCCAACGCACTGCAGTGAAACATTACTATTTATTATTCATTTCATTGCAACCACAATAGCATCTTCTTTTAAATAACACCTTAATCATTCTAAATGACCTGTCTCCCGCCAGAATCTTCCTAAGACACATAAGCACAGTATTTACATAAAAATATATAGTAGAAGTCCAGCACATAAATAATAAGCTTGTAAGAATCACCATTAAGTTAAGAGAACAGAACATTAGGAACAGAGAAGAGAGTGAGCAGCCTGCCCTGAGATGAAAACAGCAGCAGCACTTCATGCACCCTGACCCCACAGCTTTTACTGCTCAGCCTGTGGAAGTAGACTGAAAAAAGACAAAGAACCTGTCAAGGACAAACATACAAACTCTCATAAATAGCTCCAGTTTTGCTTATCAGTTCGGGACGTGTGCTAATGAAGTACTGTAAGTGCTCAAGTCATGTTTCGCTCGTGCGAGCCAACAATGAGGAACTTTGAGCTCAGTGAGGCAATCAGAGTAAGTGCGGGTGTGGCATTTGAACAGCCGTATGAGTCATCTGTTTTTTAGGCCGGTACAGTTTGTCTTAATATGGAAGGATAAACAAGAATGCCGTAATTTGTCGCTCACTTTTGTCAAAGCAGTTTCTTTAAGAACCTTTTAGATTAACACACTACATGTGGAGGCCTTTCAGTTCTTTCAACGGTGACTACACTACGGTTCAAGCCAAGTTAATAAAAAGTTTTATCTAAAACCTTAAGCTAAATTTAAACCTTCAAGCTATATCAGACGAGGAGGAAGTGAAGGTGTGACATCGAAGGAAACATTAAACATATAAGGGGTGTAATGCATCTGTGTGTAATCCCACCCTTCTGCTGGTGTTGAACTGGAACTGGCGGGCAGTACGAGACAGAGCAAGGACAAGGACAACAGCCTGATGGATCAACGCCTAAAGAGCAGTGGCTGGTGAGGCGAAGTGTTCAGTAACACAGAGCACACAAGCCTGCGTACATTATTTCGCACAGTGCTGCTGCCTGGCTGTCCTCAGTTCTGTTCGACATTCAAACAAGGTCATTATCACACTTCCTCATTGCAGAGGTGCTTGTCTCGGTATCTCTCATTTCTGCTGAAACACAAGTGGAACTAAACATTAACCAAGGCTGGTGACTTCCACCTTAAGGCACAGCACCATTCCCTAAGGCTTCTTGAGATAAGAATTCAAAGATACAAGAGAAACATTGCATAGGTTTTCCTAGGAATACTCCACATTAGCCTTCATTAGTACAGCGACATCTCAACCCTCAGCAGAGATTTATGCAGCCCTAGGAAATACCAAGGATTTGAACAGTGAATTAAATACTTTGTTAAACACGCTGCATTAATCGGGACATACTGTACATTTATCACACTTTTTAACAGCAATGGATCAGTGACAGACCTCAAAATGGAGCTGGTTATCTTTGGTTTGAGGGGTCAGTCTTTGATTTTTGCAGATTAGTGGAATGTAAACCAAACCTAAGTCCTCTGAGAGTTGGGCAGAAGGCAGCTGGTTTTGTGGAGGCTTAAAAAACTTTAAAAGCTCAGAGGATGCAGTGGGCACCCCCGCCTTACACTTTCAGTCCTCCTCTTTTTCATTTTGCTTGTTCAACAGTCACTGTCTCCAGCAGCGGCTGTTTCCTCATCAAAGCGAAACCTTTTTGTGTAAGCGTGCGGGGACTCCAGGAAGTTCTCCTTGTCTTCGGGGTCTTCTGGTGGAGCCGCCCACTTGGTGCCGCAGCTCCTTTCGCGGACGGAGCGGGTGGTGGTGGGCTCAGGGCTCACACAATGCTGCTGCTGCCACAGCCAGGGGTGGGTCATACACTCTGCAGCGCTGGGCCGGTCCCTGGGGTCACAACATGACAGAAAACACTGGAGTAAGAGTCAGACTCCACTGAATGTAGGCCTGCAACTATTAGTATGAAATCATTAGTTAATTATCATTACCATCATTTTTAGTCTCTAGAAAGAAAATCATTTGTGACAAATGTCATTTCCTAGAGTCCAGGGTGACTCGTCTGACCTACAGTCAGTTTAGTTCACTCTAATGTACGACAAGGAAAAGCAGTAAATATTCACATTTGAGAAGCTGGAACCATCAAATATTTGTCAGTTTTACTTGAAAAATGATTTAAGCAGTGATATACTCTCCTCTTAATTTCCTATCAACTTGTTAATGGCCAAATTATTTCAGCTGCAACTTAAAGTCCTATTAAATTCTTCTCTAACTGGTCTTCACAGTTCCCTCGTGCAGTCCAGGTTATCATTAGAAACAGCACAGGGCCAACATGTTAAGTAAGAAAATGAGGAAAAATTCATGTGGGTGGATAAAAATACTGATTTGTTTTGGCTCGTGAATGTGCACAGTGTGAATCCTTCACAACCTGGAGCCTGTCAAAAACAAAACATTACATGTCGCTTGAGTTGCCTCACTGAAAAATGTCTCTCAGCCTTTTGTTTACATCTGCCCTAACTTTACAGTTTGACTTGATTCAAAACAATCACTGACTGCGTTCCTACTCTGGGGGAGTCTGAGGCGACGTCGCACGCCGCTGTCTGTACTCACTCTGGTGCTTTGACCAGCAGCTTGCGGATGAAGTCCACGGCCAGCTCGGACACCCTGGAGAAGCTCTCGCTGCTGTAGTCCACGTTGACCTGAGACACGTTCAGGTATGTCTCCTGCTTGTCGTCTCCGGCAAACGGAGACTCACCCGTCACCAGCATGTAGGCTATAACACCCACACTCCTTAGGGACAGAGGCATGTGTGAAGGACACAGTTAAACATGTAGTGGAGCGCCTGTGGGCAGAATTCCTACATGCGATGACATCAGTTATTAGTTTCTACTTTCATAATTGTGGTCACTACAAAAGGGAGAACAACAGTGAACACTGGAATAACAACCCACACTGTATACATTAGCTACTGCAGTAACCACGTTGCTGTTGGTGCATTTACACTGCAATGGAACACCTTCTTTTTACAAATCATTTGGTCTAGACAGAAAAAGTTACAAACAGCCTCCCGACGGTGGCGCTGACCCTAATGGTATTGAAATTAAAGGCTAGCATAGTAATATCACCGTGCCCTTAGAAGTAATAGCCAAAACCGCACTTTTTTTCTGAATGAATCCTTGAACAACCACTGAACACATCTGACAATATCACCCCAGTTTTGCAAGAACAGACTCACCACAGGTCTGTCGCTGTTGTGATTGGCTCGTAGTTCAGGATCTCTGGAGCTGAGTGGAAACATGAAAGAAAAGGTAAGTCGTCGTATTTTGTTTCACCACTCTGTTATTGTTTCACAACAGTGTAACACAACCCAGTTAAACTCGTGAAGCTGCTGGCACAGTACATTTTAAATGGTACAGCCAAAGAAAGAAGTATTCAAGAAAAGAAAGAAGTATTCAAGACAAAACCAAGCCTAGGTTTCTGAGGTCTGTGAGGTCTGTGTGAGATGAACGGATTAAACTCAGCATTGCCGTCGGGACAGTAGGGTTGTATTTAAAGATAAAGCCTCTGTACTGTACTGAAACACATGCTGATGAAGCCAGTGCTTCTTCCCAGCAACCAAAAGATCCTAATAATTAATGAGATGTAGTTTCATACCCACAAAGGCATTTCTTATAGAGTCACACAGGTGCAGGTTTTACTGTGGAGTTTTATTCTGACTGTCACCTTATAACAATAATACGGTTAAGGCAGGGAGTTGTGTTGCTGTCACATACCTTGGAGTAATCAAAGTGTGTTATATACAGCACATATCTCCTTACCCACGTATTCGGGTGTGCCAAGTATCTCTCGGAGCTCTCCGACTGCTCCCAATCTGCGTGCCAGGCCAAAGTCTACAATCTTTATATCCCCTGGAGGAGACAGGCCGGTCAGGAGAATATTCTGTGGCTGACAACGGAACAAAGAGGGACCACTGAGTGAGCACGTGAAAGCAGAAGTGGTGGAAAGATGATATGTAAATTCAACTGGGGGGAAAAAAAAGCTATTACAAAAATCACAACTTTTTCAAAGATCTTTTTGAACATACTTCTTATTTGTCTAAGTACTGAAACTATTTTGACCATATGATGCTACCATTACATTTTTGCATGATTCTCTACAAAACAGGTTGAGAACATACTGCGCCAAACAACCAAAGGTTTTTTTTAGCTCATTTGACGAGAGAATGTTTCACAGCTATGTTGAAAGAAACGACTAGTCGTGTAAAATTCCCTTCTCTAGAAAAGAGAGATGTCTTTAACATGTGGATCCACCTGCAGCAGTGGCCAGTGACAGGCCCCTTCCTTCACAGCCTGGTGTTAGTGATGCAGGAGCGGTGTAAAACTCCCTCTACACTGTGCTACTGAGCTTCGCTCCAGGCTAAGGGTTCTGTTACCACCTAGTTCTAGATTTAACTGTGTCATGGACATCAGAAATTGGGTGCACAGCTGCTCTAAAAAGAGAAAACAGGGCCAAGCACTGTGAACATATAAAAATAGATTCCCTCATTCCTACATTCATGCATGTCATTCTGTACGTGTGTGTGTGCACAGACCTTGAGGTCTAAGTGCACCAGGTTACTCTGGTGGAGGTAGTTGACTCCTTCCAGTGTTTGCCTGATCAGACGGGTGATCTGAGCCTCTGGCAGCAGCTCCTCAGACACACAGTGGTCAAATATCTCTCCACCTGCCGCACTGGACAAAGAGAAAACACAAGCACACTGTAAATACTCAGATACACACACACGGGGACACTGGACTAGTAGAAGTGAAACACCAGGCAAGTTTGTGACATTCCACATGTGGTGGAGCTCTGACAAGAGAAACAGACATATCCTGTATTCATGGATCAAAGGGTGGACTGGTGGTTTAAGTGGTCACCCTCTGGCCAAACCATGGCCACTTTGAGCCTGCATGGCGTGGCAAAGTGTTACTTTTTTTTTCCTGCTTGCTCACTATAACGCTAAGGAGGTAAGAGTGTCAGCCAAAGACACAGAGCGGGACACACCCTAAAACTGTGCCTGTGTGAGTGTGAAGCTAATCTGATTTCATTACAGTTCAGGTTGTTACAAATCCCAATGTACTATTTCTCCAGGGCATCTTAGTGTTGTCTCTTTGCTGTCTTAAATCAACAAAGTGAAGAGTTCACAGTGTTTCTGCTCTCACGAAGGGATTAAAGTGTCTCCAACAAGTTTCACAGTTGTGGTTAGAAAATCCCAGCAATCGACTCAGACAACCACTGAGTGTTCTTCTCTCCAATCTTGGTCTCCCAGTTTTAAACTTGATGAATCACAGCAAGCAGATAAGGAAGGACAGTTCATTAGATAACATGGTTTAACATGAACCAGATTATAATGATTAGACAGAATGTGCTAGGACAAGACATCTGCAACATGACAGGCCTTTTACCTTGAAACAAATCCTGATAAACATGTTAGGAACAATGAGCTGTTTGGCATTAGAAAGACAAATGTGGCAGCTCCGTGAGACGTGTCAAATACGACAGGGCCCTTTGCTTTTATAGGACTATGCTACATGTTTAGCATGTTTTGGGCAGAAAAAAAATGGAGCCAGTGTTAGACAGCTGGAAAGATGAATTAAATGTGATGTACTGTAAAATCAAAAAGGCAAAAGACTACTGGTTCTGTAGGGAACTCACTACTCCAGCACTAAGACGATGTCGTGATCTGTCTCGTGAGCAGCGTGCAGGTTGACCACTCGGGAGTTGTTCCGGGCCATCTCCAGGACGGCCATCTCGTGAATTACTTCGGCCCGGCAGTCACGACCCCTCCTCCTCTTCCGTAGGAACTTGGCAGCAAACACCTTCCCTGTGGCCTTCTCCACACAGCGTTTGACTACTGCGAACTTCCCCCTAACAGACAGAAAATAGATCTGTGGTTATGATGCACCATTTAGATAACTGACCAACTGCACATCAGACTGAGCTCCCCTTCATTTGATTGTTTTTAACTATAGACAAGGTCGAAAAATTGGGCTCTAAGTGAAACTGTATAAGGTTTTAGTCAAATTAATAAGTTTAGTCATTGTTAAATGTAACTGCTTTAGAATACAAGACTGCAAAATGTTTCACCATGACTCCACAATACTTTCACAATAAAACCTGATAAATGACACTGATGAATACATATGTTGTCCAGCCTTAATGAAATAACCGTTTGTATGCAAATGGCTGCAGCAATGCAACAATGGTGCTATACAAATACTGACATTAGATAAATGGCGTGTGTGTTTGTTATCTAAAGTTAGTCCATCTCTAAACGGATTACTGTTAACACTGAAACCCAGTCTAACTATGGGAAAATGAAAGTGGCTACTGGGTGTCATAAGTCATCATGCTGAACCTGAAAAGCAACAACCAATGATACAGAGCTGATATGGTGTTCGTGACACATAATACACATCTGTGGTTTAAGCTCGTCTCCTGATAGGTTAGCAAAGGAAACCTTTAGCACAACTTATTAAAGATTCTCCAATAATTAGACGCACATTCCTCTCAGTGGGGGAAAAAAAAAAAACCTCTGGCATTCAGATTCAGCTGACTCCCTTTTGATGCAATGAACGCAAAAAGCCTGAATCCTAAAATAATTGGCTAAGATCGTTAGAGACCCGCAAGGACTTCTCTTAAAGAACAGGACAATGGTATTAAACTATCCTAGTTTTGTATCACCACCCATCACTGTTTCAGGTCATATTTTCACAAAGTTTTAGCGTTTGATGCACAATTTGTGAACATTTTCAAAGCTGATAGCACAGAATGAAACTCTGGGGTGGACCTCTGCCATGATGAACGCTTATGTCTCCCTGTAGTATCGGGTGGTCATTTATAAACCAAGCAAAATAAATAAGTTAAAGTCAAGGGATGTACAAGAAACAGGCAATATAACAACAGTGGAAATAAACGTGGCAGAGGCTGAAATCTTCTGGCATTTAGTCCATAATACAAGTCAAACCTGAGAACTGCTCGATCATATAATTCCCATAATGGTTAGGCCCTGGTTAGACCCTCCCTACATGGCATACACATCTTTTAAACCCCACACCTGCTGCTCACAACAAATGCTTTCAGGTAAAAATCTGTATTCTCCGAGCACAGACCGATACAACCCTGATGAAGCCCCCCCAGAGCCTCAGGGGACATAATGCAACTGAATAACACTGCTCATGACAAGTGAACTCATCTACATATAGAACTGGCCGTCTGCCTCTTTACACATTCATCAACTTTTAGCTTGCTAGATGCTATGTTAATAAGAGCTTTATCTGATGTTTGGTGCAGGGTGGGTAACATCCAGCTGTTCTATCTGAACTTCTGATGTAAACAGCTGCCTAGAGGGTTTAAAGAGAGCATCTTACAGTGAACTGTAACGTAAAGTATAGAGTGGTTATTTCTGTCTTTTCACCACTGACCTCCTTCTACACTATACAGTCATTTGATTCATTTTTCATACAGAAAACACTGCATGCACAACAAGTTCCATCAAAAATAACTAACATATTACTTAACAGAGGTGATAGTTGGAGCCTGACAAATAAATATGACAAATGTTTACACAGTTAGTCTGATAATTTAAGACTATGTTGTACAATGACCACAAATTCCTTAAAAGATCAGAAGCAAAACTAGAAATGTTCAGCCCAACACTACTGCCCTTCTAATGTTCTTGAAAATATTGCATCTCATAACTTCCTGTTTTGAGAAATCCCACACAAAGAAGTGAACAGAAGTGGCCTGTGCCGGTTCTCCTTTCTAAAAACTGGTTTGCACATGTGCTGGCTTCCTTCCTCTTGTTTTGAAAGCAGAATTACACAGTACCCACAGTATATGACACATCACTTCAAACACACCTCAAAAATCATTGTCAAGATGTAATCATCAACCACCAGCAGTTGCCATGGCTCACACACAAAGCCAAACATATCAGCAGTAGCACCCTGTGTACACTGGTTAAAGCCAAATGCAATGTTTTAACATTGGTGCAGTGAAGTGCTTGTCCTGTGCTAATTGTCTGACAAAGATATTCTATTACAAACAATACAGACCGATGAACTGATGCACAAAAGACACTGTAGTCTTTGTCAAAGGAAATTCAGGCTTCCATTAAATGTTTCTGTTGCACACAGATAATAGGTGTAAATGATTGTTTTCACTCAGGTCTGATGTCTGATGTCCAGATGTTCAGTGGTGATGTATTTTAGTTCAACCATTTTAGTCTGAGGGTCCAGAACATGACTCATTAACATCTATGACTTTCCTGTCAGTAACTGTTTTACCACACATTTTCTTTAGATTCAGGTAAACTGCGAAATGCTTCGATTGTATAATCAAGAATTTATTTTGTGAAACTGGAACTTGGGGATGTTTGGTTTGGGTGAATGACTTATGAATACATACAGCAGAATAACACGGTCATGTATGACACACCGCTGATAAGGGTTTCCTACGTGTGGAGAGATGCCAAGCTTCATATACTGATAAACCGTGGGCTATGTCGTAGTTGTGTGCTGTCAGAACCGACATCCTTGTAACGTAGTACTGTCTATACTGCACTGCTGGAACTTTGATAGCGGTTCCTATTAACATTGCCTAAATCGCCCGGGGGACCCTCTGGTTCTGGGAGTCCCAGTACAACAGTCGCGTCGGTTTTACTCACCTTCCCAGCTCTCCGGTGACTTTATAGACACTTTCCAATGGCTCCGCGCTGATTGGGGTCTGAATTTCTCCAAGCAGCCCCGCGGAGAGTCCGCTGCGACTGTCCAGCCGCCTCCGAGACATTTTCCTCTGTCTTCGCTATCAGTCCTGCTGCCAGCTACTCAACTGAACAACGCGCTAAACGCCAAACGTTTGTGAGATGACCGGTAGAACGAACCTAGCTAAGTGGCTAGCTAATACTGCAGCCTTCCCATCAGTTACATGTTAATGTTAGCTAACGCTCAGCCAGAACCCTGCTACTGTTTAGCTTAGTTCGCCGACTCCGGTTAGCTCAACTGTTAAGTTAGCTCGGCGGTCAATGTCGCGGGTTAAAAAGTTGATTTTCCTCAGCTCAGCTAAAGAGCAGTGGCGAGTGTGTCAGATCTGTACCTACGGGTGATTCCTGTCAGTCAATTATCCAAAGCGCCGCCGTGAGCCACTATTAAAATACCTTAGTCACTAAGTTGGACTACAGAGTTTTCGATCATTTTTACATCCTTCTGCTTTGACACTTTCGCGACACGTCATAGCTTGGCGCATGCGCACTATTCCCCTGTTTGAAAAACGCATGATCAAAATGTGAATTTCATTGGAAAAGAGTTGCAGCCGGTCTGAATGCTAAAATCACGTCTTCTAACTACTGACGCTAAAATCACGTCTTCTAACTACTGACACTAAAATCACTTCTTCTACCTTCTGACATATTAGCGAATAAACAGTCAGTCCTGACACGTTTCCACAGAGAAAGAAAAATGGATGAAGGTACAGGAATGACAGAATCATAAATATGATAGAGGAAATGTCAAGGCCTACATTCTGAGAATGACAGAATCATAAATATGAGGAAATGTCAAGGCCTACATTCTGAGATTAAGTAGCGTTATTGTTATGAGATGATATACAGAGATAGGAAAAAAATATTTCAAATATAAATCCACATGCTGAGATACTTCATCAAATTTATGAGATCAAATTTATTATCTAATTCGAAATCTCACAAATCCGCCACTTAATAGCTCATAAATGGTTTCTCCTGTTTTTGACTGAAAAGTCAACGTTAGTATTTTTTTATTTATGCTACCATAAACTTTTTTATATTTGTCATTTGTAACATTTAATCTAGTTTCTCCTTTCCTGACAGAAGTGAGCTAAGTCATTTCTCTTTGCACCTGTAAATTTATTAACATCTGGCAAAGCATCTGGAGGACAATAGAAGCTTCAGCATCTAACCTGTAAAGACTTATAACTCAGAGCATCATGCAATTACAAATGTAGTATGTTTAAGGGTAGTTTAAAAATTATATATTCTATTCATGTTATGTTATTTTAGATTTTTTATTTGGTTTCACTTATCATATATTTCTGGCCCTTTGTTGACATTTTTGATAGAAGACGTTAGAACCTTGGGTTTAGAAGAGCACTGTTTAATCAAGGAGCGGTTGTGGTTAGCCTATCTGATGAAGTGTTTCCTAAAAAAATGAGTTTTATATTGGTAAAATGTAAGGTAGTACATTTAGCTTTTTATACATTGAATTGGTACAAAAGTCTTGTAAAAGATGCGTTAATCAAAATGTGCTAGTTGTTCTCTTTTATTACAATCATTGAAGTGAAATGGAGACAAATACAGGAGCTTTGCATAGAACTATGAAAACTGGAGTGGGTCCTGTCAGAAATGTATATGAAAGAAGTGCAACTGTCTTCATTTGGATGTAAAGCAAGTCATCAGTTTTATCAGTCTTCTGCAGCAGAAAAGCCTCATTATAGAAAATATCAAACTGAGCGGTGGCGTATGGCCTAATGTTGTGTTGTTGCCCATGCCACAAAACTGCCCGTCAAGCAATCATAAGGTGACGTTCTATAAGATATGAAGAAGCCAGAAGTGGGGGTGTGTTTGTTAGACAGATATAGAGAGCAGGCTTAATGGTTGACTTTGCAAGCCCCAAACCTTTGGTACATTAAGTGCAAAATATATATTTATACACACAACAGGACAGACATACATATAGAGTTATATACAAAGAGACGAACGGGATTGCACACATGGTGCACAGACATGTGCTCTCACTTTTCACAAAATCAGAACAGCCCTATTGACTCATCACTGATTCATGAGCAATGAAACATAACCACTGACCTATTACTAAGATAGGCAGATGCACATGTGTGAAAGTAACATTTTTGAAAACCGCTGCCAAGGTGCTCACCATTACATTGTCATAGAGTAAACAAACTATTGCAGTCAACATTGTTCTTTGCCAGAGCTGAAACTAAAGCAGCTACTTCCTACACCTTGTTTCCAGGACCATGAACACTCAAGGTATGACAGTGCCAGGTAAGCATAAGGCTGCATGCCTCGAGTGAGCACCACAACCAAAGTGATCCAACTTAACCAGCTCCCTCACCCCTGTTTCTGGATGGATAGCAATATCCTCATGCAAAATAGCTATTAAGGACAGTGTGTTGCACTATTTCAGCATGCAATATTGAGCTATAACACATCACCATCTAGGGTTTTTTGCCCTGGCAGAGCTCACAGAGCTGACCAAGACGATCCCGCATGCAGTATTGGGCTGGGAGAAGGGGATGAGATATGAAAGTCTGCCTCCACAGCTCGGAGCACGCATGGGGCTGTCTACCACTAGTCCAGCCCATGTAGTCTAGCTCCAAGAGACCTCTGTACAGTAGGTGTAATTTTGCATGCACCCCATAGAAAAGGAGTAAGTTTGTGTTTATGTTGTCATGTGCATGTAAAAAAAGTGTGTGAGAGAGAGTGAAAGGGTCCTTAGTGTTTACATTGTGCACTTAAAAGCTGCAGAACTGTTTTATCACATGCTTTCAAGACAACTCTCTTGTCTGGCATGGAGCCGCGTGCCAAACGTTTTAGAGTGCAATCTCCAGACAATCCTAAAGGCTGGTGCTTGTCCCTGACATCGGCATCATCATGCCTGGTCAGGTCATTCAATAAGGATGAAAACCTATGGAAGAATAATTTTGGCAAAAGGTTTGAGAGAGCACAAACTGAGTCACCAGTGCACAGGCACTAAAAATAAATCTGATTTGTTTGCTTGTGAGCCTGCTTTCTCAGTTTTCTGTTTGTTTTGGCAGCTTGTGAGCCCTTGAGATTGCAAGAGGTCACATGTCAGCCAGTCTTGACTAACATGCTGCAACAGGATGCACACACATTCAGAAATCAGGATCTTGTGTTTTTCAGAGTTAAAGTCATCACAGGGGAAAAATGTCTCCTGCTATCACAATGTCACAGTTGTTTGAACTACTAGTTTCACATATTACAGTAAACACAACCAGTCCATATCAGGCTCATTAGATTGCTCAGGGTAACATGCCGAGCCTCATTCATAAATGTTTGTCTAGTAATATGTCTTTTAAGTTTCTTTGTTAAAGGTATATAAAAACAGAGTAACAACAAATAAGAAAAGCTACATGTGGTTCAGAAAATCACTAAAATTAGAACTTAGAGCTACAGTATACAACTTTTTCAAATATTTGAGTTGTATAAATGTTTCAAAACTTGTCCTAATGTGTTGAAGAGCTGTCGAAGCCCCCTGTGACCCAGACTCTGTGAACAGCACCGTAGTGTGTAGAGAACAGAACAGCAGTGTAGAGATATTAGCTTCTAAAAGGTTTTGAGTGAAACTGACCTCTCTAACCAGTCAGATATTTTCAACTAGTTCTGCTTAATCAGTAAGTTTCATTGCATTCCCATTTCCTATAATTTCATAACGACAAATATCTGAAGAGCTGGGCAGAGCGTAGTAGAGCATAGTGGAGCAGGGAGGAGTGTTGGGCGGAGCAGAGTGGATAGGTTTGGGGTTTCATGCTAGTGCTGCCTTAAGTTACGTACTGTAACTTTAAAGAATATCACTGTCTGCTTTTACTTTGAACGCAGAAGGAAGGGAACAAACAGGCTGACTTGCAGACTGAGTAGCTTGAAATTCTGGTTTGTGCTGCCTCAAACTTTTGTCATCAGTGTATACAGTGAGGAACAGAAGTATTTGAACACCCTGCGATTTTGCAAGTTCTCCCACTTAGAAATCATGGAGGGGTCTGAAATTCATATTGTAGGTGCATTCCCACTCTGAGAGACAGAATTAAAAAAAAAAA